AATTCCTGTGGGAAATTTTTCTTCTCGTGGGTTTGTGTGTGTAGGTGTGTGCGGTGCGTTGGTGTGCGTGTGTGTGGCGATATTGTTTTCGTTTTTGTTTTTAATTCCGGAGAAGAGGAACGTGCAGCATTTAATGCGCGTTACCAATGGGAATAAACATATATATATGTACTTTATACTATATATAATACATCGACTATATGCTTGCATGTGTATGCTTTATCAGTGTGAATGCGCGGGGTCTGCCTTTATGTCTGCGTAATTTCCGACTGTGACACCTGGCACTGCGTGGGAGGACTTTTCATGCTAATGCGTACATCTTTGTCCTTCTTTGTAGCCCCTTCTTCTTCTCGAACGGACTTCAGCTGGGTAATCCGTGCAGCAAACTGAATCTTAACCGGCAGAGACAGAGGCAGCATTCGCTGGGCGGCCATATGGGTGGCAACAGTGCCGGAGCAGCCAATGCCAGCGCCTTCAGCGCCGGCGGCTACATCGGCCCCACCAGCGCCAGCAGCCAGCACAGCCTGGGGGCGGCCGGAGGCAGCGACCTTATACCCGGACCGATTGGTACAGGCGCAACCTTGGGCGTGTCCTCGTACGCCTACGGCGGCACCAGCTGGGAGGAGTTCTGTGAGCGGCATGCTCGCGCGGCGGCCTCGGACTTCGCCAAGGCCTGCATCACGTATATAAACGGGAACCTGCCCCCCGAGGAGGCGCGCAACATACAGCATCGCAGCTTTTCACAGAAATTCGTCGAATCCTTTGCGGTCCACTACGATACGGAGTTCTTCAGGCGCCGCAGTACTTTAAAAATTGGCGCCGGCTCATTGGACTTTGACGAGGAGCACGAGGTGCCGCGTCTGCTGTCCAAATCGCTGCTGCGGCGGCTATCCTTCAAGGGACTGCGCAAGGGCAAGGTGAGCAGGGCCGCCCAATGGTTGTGCCCGTCTCGAGATTGTTATCCATTTGGGTTTTAACTTAAGTTCCCCATCCTGCAGGCCTTCTTCCACAAGAACTCGGACGACGTGGACGGCAGCGGCAAGCAGAGCAAGACCAAGCTTGCCAAGATCGTGGTCGAGTGCCGCAAGGAAGGCTACGTGAATAACCTGACACCCGAGAGTCTCGACCAGCCGACAGGATCCCAAAAATGGGAGAAGTGCCGACTAGCCTTGGTAAAGGCGGTCGGCGGCTATATGCTGGAGTTTTACACGCCCCCAAAATCCGCAAAGCCACGCAGCGGTGTCTTCTGTTTCCTAATCTCGGAGGCACGCGAGACCACAGCCCTGGAGATGCCCGACCGCCTAAACACTTTCGTTCTCAAGGCAGACAACAACATGGAGTATGTGATCGAGGCGGAGAGCGCCGAGGAGATGCGCAGCTGGCTGGCCACCATTCGCTACTGCATGCGGACACCGCCCACACAGCAGCCCCTCATCGAATCGGACGTTATAGCGGCTGCCATGCAGACCTCGCCGACAAATCCCTCGGGCAGCAGTGCGTTGGGTGGCATACAGAATCCCCAGTACCAGCAGCAGGGCGGCTCCAATGGCAACCTGGTGGCCGGTGGAGGGGGTGTCGTTCTGTCCTCTTCTCTGTCGGCGGACAGCGCATTGGCCTCTGCGGCCATTGGCCAGGGAGCCACATCTGCGAGCGATATAAATGCCATCAATGAGCTGGGTACCACACCGCCGTCGGGACCCCCGGAAATACCCATGCGACCGCATCGTGGCGAGCAGCGTCTGTCGGCCTCCAGCAATTTCGATGGCGTCGAGCTGACAGAGAACGATGCGGATGTAAATGTGGCCGATCTAACGGCGGAGATGAGCCAGTTCCCCTGGTTCCATGGCACGCTGACCAGATCGGAGGCGGCACGCATGGTCCTCCAGTCGGAGGCCGCCGGACACGGCTACTTTCTGGTGCGGCAGAGCGAGACACGGCGCGGCGAGTTCGTGCTGACCTTCAATTTCCAGGGCAGGGCGAAGCATTTGCGGCTGACCATCTCGGAGAAGGGCCAGTGCCGGGTGCAGCACCTGTGGTTCCCTTCGATCCAGGAGATGCTCGAACACTTTCGCCATAATCCCATTCCCCTTGAATCGGGCGGCACCTCTGACGTGGTCCTCACCGACTGGGTGCACAATACCAGTAGACTGAACGATCTCTCAGCGGCGGGAGCTTCGATGGCGGCAGGAGGAGGAGCGCATGAGGCGCACGGACAGCAGCACCATGATCCGGCAGCGGCGGGCGGTGGGCCAACCAATGGAAATGGAAACGGCCAGGGGCATGCAGGAGGAGGAGGAGGAGCAGCTGGCGGGGGCCATCCGTCGCCGAGACATGTGAGATAGCCAAAATTTTGGAGTCAATTCAGTGTCAGTGATGGTTTTATTTTATTTTACTTTGATTTCTGTTCGATTTCTTATCATTTCATTGCAAAAGATGGGATGTGGTTTGAGCTCTGACCCCTGCTGACCCCTGCTGACCCCTGGGTACTAGGGAAATACTTGGAACTACGAGTATATGTACTATGTAGGCATATCGAGTATTTCCAAGTAGTTATAAAACATTTAATTTTTTTTTAAATATCAAAAAAGAAACGCCATAAAAACTATATTTTAGACAAAAGGGAATACCACTACTTTTTAGGGATTGTGCTCTGAAATGTTACAGAATGGCAATTTGAATCATTTTCTGGCTAATTCTTTAAAGATCAATTCAAAATGGTACCCTTTTTAAAGTCGAGCATGTTTGAAATGTGATTCAGATATATTTTTTAATTTAGCGTAAAGGGACACTCGAGTCTGAGATCGGATTAGGGACTCAGTTTCTTCATATTCTCCAATAAAGTCTGATTTAAATTATTGCCACAATTGTTACAGCTTTGGTAGCCTTTTATTTTCGATATATTTTTAGTCGCTTCGAAACTGTTTTCTATATAGAAGAAAATAAAATAATAAAATGAGGAAAGCTAACGAAGAATTCCCACAAGTTGAGACATTAGGATTAATACCTTTTTAAACTTTATATTATTTACAAATTTAAATCAAGAACTTAAATCCTAATGTTATGTTCAATCAAACAAATAGGGACATATGGGAATTAAGAAACCTTCTTTAGGTATTCAAAAGTATAGAAGTAAATGTATTTTTTTTGTTTAATTTTGTTAAGTTTTGTCCGAAACTTATCTTTGAGATTGTCGTTAGAGACTTTACCTTTATTTTCCTACTTCTTGGAGTTTCAAAGTACATTTTTAGTTAGTTTCTGTGTTTAGTTTGAATGACTTTGATTTGATTGTTGCATGCTTAATGTCTCTCACCACATATCACAACCGCCTCTCAACCCCCAACCCGAACCCAATACCAAACCCTATCCAAATTAGCGGACCACTAATGAAGTTTCTACCTTGCATTTTGTTCCTACAGTGCAGCGAAATCATTACCATGAATCTGAGTGTTCGCCTAAAGACAAATGAAATCGAACTGCCATTGGAGCAGCCAACACACGTCTATTTTCCGGAGCAAACCTACTTTCCTTTGGACTCCACAACGTTCACGGTGCACAGCTCGCCGCCAGCTGGGCAGGGCTTCCTCGATCAGCCGCATCTGCGGGCATCCAATGCCTCCTTGCAGGGCTCCGCACACCATCAGCAGCAGCAGCAGCAGCAGCAGCACCAGGCGGTACAGGGAGGCAATGCCAGCGGTAGTGGCGCCAGCGGCGGCAGCGGGACCGAGGGCAGCGGACGTGCCGTCGATAATCAGTATAGCTTCACCTAAATCCCGGCTGGATTTGATTGGGGGATACTTTGCGAAATTTATCATTGTGCCATTGTCTTGAGAATGGGAAATATTTGTGTTTTTGCATTACAAGAGACGTATGTATATCGTGTAGTCTGCTTTTCTTTGTTCCCTCTCCGTGTTCGTTTCCTTCTCTTTGCTTTCTTACTTGTTTCTATTAAGTTTAGTAGTACCTCCTCGGAAGACATGTAGTAACTGAATATTATTATGTATACATTATTATTATATAGCTAAATGTGTGTGTTCATTTTTAAGTACATCAATGTTGTATGTATAGAAAAAAAACGGAAAATATTACAAAAAATTTAAGATTTATGTGGCACCAAAGGTGCGACTCAAGCGAATCCTAAAACTTCCTGCTTTACAAAACAAAAACAAAATTACATACATATATAAATATATATACTATGCCTATAAATATAAATTATGTATACATATATAAATATATATATTATATATATTGAAATTGGTAAACTACAATAAATGAAGTTATGTAAAAGTAAGAAATATAATAGTCTCCTTGCTGTTTGAATTATTTGATTAGCGGTTAAATTTTGAATGCACATTTCTGCCTTTGCTTTCCAGCACTGCGCCCCTTCGATTTGCAGTTTATCGGCTTAACTATAGCTTGTCTCTCCTCTCTAGACGCAGCGACCTGGACAACCAGGGTGACCGCTTACGGTATTTTTAATACTTTTCGGTTTTTTTTTAGGTCAAAATTTAACCGACTGTATATTTATGGTATATAATGGTATATTTTGTCAATTTCATCAATCTATTAAATTTAATATTCAACGATATATAGAAAATCAAATAAAAGCAAGTACTTAAAATAAGCCAGTTAAGTAGAAAAATGATTCATCCATCGTATAAACTTATGTGGTCATGGCTAAATGTTCTACATAGCTAGTAATATTCGACGGAATATCATAATCGACGAATGTGGTTTCCAATCGTTGACGGAGAACGATTAACCCAATGCAAACCAAGGGTTTCCACAGAAAATAATACAAATTTAATAATTTTATCGCAGTTCAGGTGAAAGATATCGTGTTTTTTTGTTAGTTCAGAGGCAAGATAGGTCTACAGAAGAATTTACAATCGTTAATATTTTCCACAATTCACCTCAAGTCGTTGCACTGTTTAACAAGAGGGGGCTTAAGTGGGCTAAGTTCGTTTTTGTCATCGGTCAGTTAGTTGTGAATATTTTTATTTTCGCAATTAAACCAGTCAATTTAAACACTGAGTTTAAAGAATGGAGCTTGAACTGGATGTGGTGGACTCCCTTCAGGCTCTGGCCTACGATGGGAATTGCCTAGAGCAGGAGGCGCTGAGCAAAGCCCTGGACAACGGCATCGACGACGAGGACTTGCGTGCGGTGATTTTCTGGCTGGCCCACGAATTGCATGTGCTCCGCAAGACGGACGAGCATGTGACATCCAGCAAGAAGGACCACGACGAGTTCGCCATCGAGCTGTCCCTGCTGCTCACAGAACTGAGCTGTCCCTACAGCCAGCTGGTGATGGGGCCCATATCGGATCGCTTCGACAGCCGTGACTCGCTGCTGCAGCTGCTGGACTACCTGACCTCGGAGCTGATGTTCACCAAGATTTCGCTGAAGACGCAGCCGGTGGGACCACCCAGTAAAAAGTCCAAGACTGAGTCGAATGTCGAGGCGACAGTATTGGAGCTGGTGAGGGACCTGCAGCTGGGCGAGCTGCCCAAGAACATCAGCGCCAAGGCCATGTTCGACAAGATTACTCCCCGACTGGAGCAGCGCATGGGCCAGACCAATCGCGGTGTTGTCAGCGAGCCCCTGCTTAACCTTAAGAAGCCCCTCAGCGATGTCCAGTGGCGCATGTTGGATGCTCTGCACATTGATCTGGATAGCGAGTACAATCTTCGTCGCCAAATGATGCTCACCCGCCTGGAGGCCACCATTCAGAGCTTCAAGTGGTCAGAGAGTATGAGGAATCGCGAAAACGAGATCATGGAACTCTTTCAGCTGAAGCTCAAGGAACTGGAGCAGTTCAAGCTCGGAGGAAACGAAACCAACATTGTGGCTCTCTTGGCCGCCCGCGCCGACCTTGCCATCATCGAAAAGACGAGTTCGGCAAATGTCCGCAAGAATACTGCCTCGAAGATCCAAAAGCATATGATTGGCAGTGTCCCGGATCGCGGCGGACGAGCCAATGAGCATGCTCCGCCCCCACCAGAGATGCCCTCTTGGCAACAGCAAAGGGCAAGCGGGCCTCAAGGAGGAGGCGGTGGCCGTGGAGGAGGGAACTTTCGAGGCGGTGGGCGTGGTGGCGGCCGCGGTGGTGGCAGAGGAGGAGGAGCAGCGAGTGGTGGCGACAATTGGCAACCGCAGCAGCCACATCATCAGCCACATCAACAGCAACATCAACAGCCACAGCAGCATCGCGATCGCGATAACAGTCGGGATAGAGATCGAGATCAACAATGGACTAGCGGGAGTGGACGAGTGCAGGGCTCTGGCTGGAATCCCCAAGGCGGACGCGGAGGAGGAGGAGGCCGCGGCGGTGGTCGTGGTCGGGGAGGGGGTGGCGGGGGCTATCATCAACGCGGTGGCTACCGATAAGCTTCGTATCTGTTTAAGCCAATTCCATGAACTGATATTATAAGAGATCGATACGTATCTACCCTCTGCCTGCTTTTATTAGTTTCGTTGACCCAGTTTAATTTATTGCTAATTTATATAAATGTGTTTATAAATGGCTGAAATTTATGAAATAAACTATATATGTCATCAAATGTCGGCAAATGTCGCGTGTCGACTAATATTTGTAGGAGGTACTCAGACAGCATTTGGGTATGGTATATTTTTATAAGCAGATGAACATGTTTCCTTATTTTGGATACCAAATTATGTATTTGTCCTTGCTTGTCCCTAAAACAGCCTGACAGTTCTTCATAGTATAATATTGTTTCATCTGTAGGAGCATTAATTTTCAAAGGCTGGTGGGAGAGTGTTGAACAGGGCTATAAGTGCTATAAATCAGTTTGATATATAGATATATTAAAATTTCGATTATTACAAAGATAACGATAAAATATACAATTTGGATAGTTTTTTTTAGAAGAGAGAGAGAGATTTTCAGAAATGGCCCACCTTTGGAAATCCAACTAGAACATTTCCACATAATCCTTTATTTGTTATTTATTAAACTAACGCTAATATGAAATATAAACTTAAAATTTACCAGCTCTAGTTACTCGCACCTCAGGGCTCACCAGATAATATATCTCAACGAGAATGTATAGGGTATCATATAGTTCTTATATATAATATAACGACTAAATCATATCTATTTTTTAGATTTAGGTTAGGATTTCACTTTCAATAGCCTGTCGATGATCTAGTTTACGTTTTGTTGATGGGCTCTTATCAATGTGGGACCGATCGCTGTTACAGAGTCGTCAGGACTACGGGGTGCTATTACGATCGAGCAATAACCTTCTAAACTTGAAACTTGAAAATGACAATGAAAATGTATGAATGCAAGAATCTTATTCTGGCCACATAGTACTTGATCTTGCCCTCAATCCCCGTAAAAACTGCGCCCCTGTGCAGGTAACCAAGCATCGAACACACGCGACACTCCATTGCCATTAGCGTCCAATCTAGTCATCAACTATTCCAGCGATACTGGTACTCGTACTGCCACTGGCCAGTGGCCACCAGAGAACCACTCCACAGCGCCACTGGTGACAATTAACGTGTTCAATCAGCATGAAAACCATGTCGAAGTCATCATGGATGAGCCGGCAACAGCGCTTGGATCAGTGCAAACTAAGCCCTAGCCCAGACCGGTCGAGGAAGTCCAGTGTTTCCGAATTAAATTTTCAAATTAGATCAAAATGCTCATTAAACTTCTGCCTCTGATTCTGATAATTGGCTACAGCAACATTTTTGTGCCTGGCAGTGCACAAAATCTGTTGGACCGTCTCCGGCCTGTGAATGTGACTCGGTTCGATGATGGCATCAAAGTCGTGTCCGGCACCAAAGTGAAGCGATACGAACGTCTGACGGTGCCACTGGGAAGTCCGGTTGGCATACCAGGAGGGGCTGGTCTTTTGGGCCCTCTGTTACCCCCCCAACCGGCCTATTTGGGATATACTTATGTAAGATTTTGGCACAGAATCTTGGTTCTATTATTAACTATTTCTTCAAGCAGTTGGTTCCCCAATGGCAGGCGGGTGCAAAGCTAGTGGGCGATGGCGAGGCGGCGGGCGTGGCCGGGATGATCACCTTCCAGCAGCTGCCTTACAACTCGGACATTAAGGTGACCATCAATGTGACTGGGCTTCCTCCGGGAAAGCATGCACTCCATATCCACACCTTCGGTGATGTCAGCGATGGCTGCAAGTCTACGGGCGGACAGTTTCCCAATAACTTTGTAAGTTTTTAAGGCATGGATCAAATCTGAAACACTTTACTCCATAAAATGAATACTTCCAGCTGGGCAATGTGGACGCCAAAGACGATGGCAGCATATCCGCAGTCTTCCAGAGCATTTACATACAGTTGTTTGGTTTCAATGGCATTGTAGGCAGGGCCATTGTGATTCACAGCAAAGCTATCGATCTGAATACGGCTCTCAATGCGGAGGTCTTCTCCTCGTCGCTTCAGGCCATGCCGAATGCCTTGGCCTATCAAAATGAGGAGAACTCTGTGGGTCCACCCATAGCTTGTGGCGTGATTAGCCTCATGAGCACTGCCGCAGCTCCAGCATCCGGTTCATCGGCTGCGGCAGTGGAGAAAAGGGAGATTTAACGCATTTATAAACATTATCCAAACCCACATAATTTAATAAATATTCTCGGTATATGTAAATGTATCTTTCATCTCTATGGAACGATACTTTTTCATTATTTGAAGCTGACTTTTGGAATCAGGTAAAGTACATATTCGATTTCTGGGATTCTTGCAGTTGTCAGTTTATCTTCTCTAATAAAAATAGCGTCTGACTTTTAGTTTCCAATTTGTATATGTGCATTGTAATTTATTCTCTTTATGTGTTCTCTGATGTGCAATGCCACCCATAACCATTAAAAAGAAATGAGAACAGAGCTAAAGCCTGCAGATAATATTTATAGATACGAATATACATACACACTTGTGCCTACAAGATAATACTTATTGTATCCCTGTTTGTTTTGCACATTACAGGAACAAACATATATCTATACAAATAATAAATTACGAAATTCTTAAACATAGTTACTGCATCATGTGCAGCCAACAAATATCAACATCAATATCAAAGTTTATACAGTATCACATTGATATAATACGATTATGCTGAAGAAGAACTTCAGTGGAATCGCCGGGGAACCACAAAGAAAAGTTAATGCTACGCTGCCTGCAATAATTATACGAACGTAATAAAACTTGGTAGATCAGTGACTCTTGTTGCAAATTTTAGAGCACCAACCTTTCATATCTGTGCGAGATGCACATGTTCAAACAAAAATCAAGGCCATGCCCGGCCGATGATCCTGAGCAAAAATCCATTCAATGTTGTAATCTACCAGCGACTTCTTTAAGTTATCTCCAAATCTGACAGAGTTTTTACCACCGTCAGTAATCCATCAGCCATGTTGGGAATTCCATTGCCAATAACAATGCCCCCCGGGGGACTTATCAAATTCTGCTCAGCTTTAATGCCAGCTACGTGCGGCGCATGCCCAAAGGTCTGGGGCGCCGTTATCCAAACTTTCTTCGCACGATGCATTCAATGCTTTGGACAGTTGCTTGCCAAACCTCAAGATGTGCGTACGCGAAAGTAAAAGTTTTCCCAGCCTTTGGATAATTTTCTTGGTTCTGGGCTTGGCCCAAGGCCTGACAGAGATAGATTCGCAAGATCCCGAGGATCCCGAAGATCCCTTTTCCAGCACAGATGAGGCCAGGTTCGATTGGCCTTGGTCCCGCAACAAGACCACCAAAGGCACACCAGCCGGTCTGAATTTGAAGAACGAATACGCCCAGATGGAAATTGCCAGCTTTAGCGACTTTGAACGGCAACCGTGCCGACGTGTCTGCCAGCAGGGCCAGAGCCAGACCTGCTACTACCAACTGGTGGTGCACAACTACCAGAGACTGGGACCCGAGTGCCAGCGCTGCCAGTACGATGAGCGGGCCTGCGCCGCAGAGTACTGCCTCTATGGCGACGGTGTTGCCTCTCCCGTGATGGCCGTTAATCGAATGATACCGGGACCGCCCATCGAGCTGTGCGAGAACGATACTGTGGTGGTGGATGTACTCAACTATCTGGGCGAGGCCACCACCATGCACTGGCATGGTTTGAACATGCGGCGCTCGCCGGAGATGGACGGAGCCCCATTTATCACCCAGAACCCGGTGCAGCCGGGCGAGGTCTATCGCTACGAGTTCCTGGCCGATCGCAGTGGATCGCTATGGTACCACAGCCACATGGGCTGGCAGCGGGGATTCGGGGTGGCAGGTCACCTGATCATACGACAGACGCGCCAGGCCAACCAGCACGCACATCTCTACGACTACGATCTGGTGGAGCATGCGTTGATGGTGCAGGACATCTTCTACGACCACGAGCTGACGACGGTGCGAAACATACTCATCAACGGGAAGGGAAGAAACCACCTCAACCAACTGCCGGATAACGACAACCGACATCGGTACGAGCGCCTCCGGGTCACTCCTGGCTATCGCTATCGCATGCGAGTCCTTCTCAACGGGATCGCCAACTGCCCCGTGGAGTTCTCCATTGAGCAGCACAAGCTGCTGATCATCAGCACAGATGGCAACGACATTGAGCCCGTGCTGGCTGATGGGTTTTTCCTTACCTCTGCCGAGAGATTTGACTTTGTTCTGGAGGCCAGTCAGGTGGCCAAGAACTATTGGATCCGAGTCCGCGGCTACGAGCAGTGCGAGGATCTCAAACTGTACCAGGGCGCAGTGCTCAGCTATCGTGGCGCCACTCGCAGTGAGTTGCCACAGGGCAACATTATGGTTAGCCCACAGAGCAGAGCTCTCGATGCTGATAATTTCCTCAAGCCCACGAATATTTCCGGGCAGGGCAGAGCTCTGTCTGCGGCCCCCGTCCTGGTCAACGATTATCGCATTATGCCCACGATTGCCGCCGGCCCTGCTGCCTTCCTGCGCCTGGCAACGGCCGAAAAGGACAACAATGTGGGCACTGTGGCCCTCCGTTCGCTGCAACCTGTTCCTTGGCCCCGAAACACAAAGTTCCGCACCTACTACTCCAGTTTTAGTCTCCACCGGGCCCCAAATGGGGAGATGCTCTTCCAGATCGATGAGATCTCGTACATACCTCCGGGTATATCCCTGTTGCAGGGTCGGCATCTCTTCCAGGACGATGGATACTTCTGCAACCGGAGTTCTCTCGCCGCTCAGGGTCGCAACTGTCAGCAGGATGTCTGCGAATGCCTGAACGTAATCCGGATGCCTGCCTACCGCCCCATCGAGATGGTGGTGGCCAACTACATGGTCAACACGCATCCCTTCCATGTCCATGGCAGCTCCTTCCACCTGGTTGGCCAGGGCGTTGTGGGCAATATGGAAGACCTTCGGAATGTAAGTAGCTACACAATAAATCCAGATACTTTAAATAATTCCATTCCATTTCCTTTTTTAGATTCAGCAACTCGATCGCCAGGGACTTCTCCCTCGACTGCCTGACCACTACCATGCGGTGCTCAAGGACTCGGTGCAGATACCGGGACTGGGCTACATCATTGTCCGCTTCATTTCAAATAATCCCGGTTTCTGGCTCTATCACTGCCATGTGGAAGCCCACGCAGTCCAGGGAATGATGGCCGTGCTCAAGATCGGCGAGAATCATCAGATAAAACGAATTCCGGCTCGAGTGCGTTGCTAGTTTTAGAAAAATTATTCCTCATAAGTACCATTAAAAGTTATTTAATTTTTTGGATTTCCATAAACATAATTAGAATTATTTTTGCAAAAAAATACAATCACTTTTTCTGATAGATTTGCAGTTCTGAATGATAGCAGTTTAATATTGATTCTAAAAGGATGGAAAATTGAATCTAAATAGATATATAAATCCGTATCAGTATATTGCTGGAAATCAGCTAATTTGAAGTCAGAGGTAGCCATACAATAATAGGACAGCGACACCTTTATAAAGCAGGGGACACTGTACAAACGCAATCAATGTCGCCTCTACTTATTGCGTGCATAAAATTGGATTTTGTTTAGAAGAATTCATTATCTTAAGATTTTGTTCGATTTATATTTAAACGTTTCTCAAAGGCTGGTGTCGTCTTTCTTTCCTGTGTAGATTACGTTTCGATGAGAGGTTCGATTACTTTATTAACTTGTTCCTACGATTAGGCAGCTTATCAAATAACTTAAAGTAAAGTCCTTAAGATAACACAATAACTCAATCAAACTGCACTGCTCGCCTTCTCGTATTCCTCCATGATGGCAATCACGGGCTCATTGAGATATACACGAACCTCGTGGTTTAAGGCAAAATCCCCGTGATCCCACTCTTTATCCGCCATGCGGTGCATAGACTTCTTGGGCAGACGTTCGCCCAGCGCCTCGACATCTTCCACTGCGGCCATGGCGTCGTTGTCGGAATACCACAAGTGAACATCTGAGGTAATCAGCTCCACGGGATACTCTGGTGGCTCCTCCGAGCCATAGACCTGCAAATTCTTCTTGGGGCCATAGTCGAATTGACGGAAATAGCCGGATTGCTGCTCCTGGATATAGTGAAGCATTTGATCGGTCGAACAGCCTGACGGATGTGTTGCCAGACCATCTGGCATGGCGGTCTATGGATATATTTAGAAGCAATTATCTCAAGGAACAACCTTTTCAGATTTCCTTCTACTTACCATATTAACGCGACCACCGGTGTATAGAGACTGTACAGTACTTTCGCATACCGGACGCAGCATGAAATCCGGTTCACACAGGTTGAAAAGAAGGGCCATAAGGAAGTCGTTGTGGGGCAGAAACTCTTGGGAACCAAATAGCTTTGCATATATCGTCTGATGGCCCAAATAGGGACCCAGAGCCCGCACCAATTTGTTTGCCATGTTTTTCATGATCGCCACCGGGGCAAACATGTGAGCTGTCTTGATTTTCTTATTGTACTCCGGGCGTGAGGACATCAGAGCAAAGAACACCGTCGTTCCTTGCGAGTGACCCACATAGTGGATGGCGTCCTGTCCCTTGCCATTATCGGTGGACAGGGCATAATCGATCATGGCCGCAATATCGTAGAGCCCAATCTCGTGCCAAGAGAACTGCCAGAAGTGGGGATGCTTTGTGGAGAGCGTCGTGTGGTTCCTAGAGTAGGTGTTGCCGCGACCATTGCCCATCCAAACGTCGTAGCCAGCATCGGCCAGCAGATATGGTAGTCCATCATTAGGTCCGCACAGGATCCAGGCATCCGAGCAGCTAGTCAGGCCATGCTGTATCAAGACAATAGGACGCTTCTCGTTCTGATTCTGGAGCTTGTGGGAATAGGGTATGCGAAAAATTCCTACGATGTAGCCATCTTCGGTAATAACGTGATGATGCTCTGATGGATATCCGTGAGCGGCAATACGATCAGCCTACAAGTTGATCAATTAATATCAGGATTTATTTAAAATCCAGGGCCAACATACCGTCGTCAATCGATCCTTGAGGCCGATGTGGGCCTCTGGGTTATCGTATAGCTGGTAGAAATCAATTGCCCCAACCGGCCCATCTATTGCTGCGGAATAGGTAGCCACGGCCAAGCCAATGAGGATCAGTAACTGCCTAAAGATCGGGCTCTTCATGGTTGGGCGATGGTTCAATAGCAACTGACTGCTGGCCAACGTACGCTTTTCAGCTTTTGTAGGGGGCTCGATTTCAAGTAGTTCATGCTATCACTGTTTTGATTATATATATATTTAGACTCTCTAGATTATGCATCCATAAGGAGCAAAATCTAAAAGTTATAAAAATTGGGATTAGAGAAAATAATAAAATAATAAATACATTTGATATCGAAACAATACCACCCGAAACAATCTTTTTGGGCCTTCAAAATTCGAGTGGGCTATTACGAGTGAGTAAGACCCACGAAATTTATAGTGATAGGTCTGAAAAACCACAACCATTTAGAACCCAAATTGATGTTTCCGAAAAATGTATACCTTATCCGGAGAATTACTTGCGTCACGTACTCCAAAGTTATCGCTAATTACAGCTACTTGAAGAACCGTGTGATAATCAGCAGAAAATACCCCCCATCGAAAGGTGTTGTTGTTATAGATTATTAAGAAATTTATAGATTTTCAGAGGGGACAATGGAACCCATAAAATTTATGGTATGTACTTACTAATGGAAAAATGACTATTTGATTAAAAAAGTCGGCTATGATCCAATGAATGCACTTTTTAAGTGGAAGGAAGAGTACATACGATATAGTTTTTCTCGAATGGAGTGTGAATCTATTGGAGCTTGCTATCCTTAGAAGTTGGTGCTGTACTTGTGGGAGTCAAAGAGGCATCCGTTCTTGATAAGATTGTATTTGTGTTTATTCTGATTTAAATTAATACTACATATGCCATAACTATGCTACAAGCTACTTAAAATGTTTTATACAAGTGGTCTAGGTCCTTATCACTGGGGGTTTTCTGCCTCGTGTTTATTCATGATGGCGATAATTGGTTCATTGATGTAATAGCGCACTTCCCAGTTCATGGCAAAGTCTCCATGATCCCACAGAGGATCCTCCATATGGTGCATTATGGCGTTGGGAATTGTCACGCTCAGGCGAATAACATCCTCCACTGCGGCCATTTCATCGTTGTCCGAGTACCACATATGCATTTCACAAGTAATCTTCTCGGTGGGATAATCGGCTGGTGTTTCCGTGCCGTAATATTTCAGATTCCTCTTTGTGCCATAGTCGAACTCACGGAAGTGTCCTGACTGATGTTCCTGCATGTAGTGCAGGATTTGGTCGGTTGAGACGCCAGCGGGCATGACCCCAATAATCATATATGAGGCGGTCTATTATGGTTAAAAGTACAATTATTAGACACTTAAAAGTTAATCAGAGAGATAATCATTTGTAGACCTACCTTATTGGTTCGTCCTTCTTGGGTTGTGTTATCATTGCTGCTGCTGCAGAAATCAGAGACCACGGATCCGGTTCGGCAAATGTTGTACAGCAGAGCAAGGACAAAGTCATTGTAGGGCAGGAACTCCTGGGAGCAGAAGAGCCGCGAGTAGGCATTGTTGAGTCCCAAATAGGGTGACAGGGTGTTCACCAGGAAATCATCCATGTGGTCCATAAAGGCCACCGGGGCCAGCATGTGAGCAGTCTTGATCTTTGCATTGTACTCCGGACGCGAGGAAAGCAAAGCGAACAGAACAGTGGTGCCTTGTGAGTGGCCCACATAGTGGATGCCCGTCTGTCCTTTGCCGTTCTCCGTGGAGAGCGTGTAGTCGATGGAAGCGGCGATGTCGAAGTACCCGATCTCGTGCCAGCTGAACCGCCAGAAGTTGGGATGCTTCGTGGAGAGGGAAGTATGGTTCCTGGAGTAGCGGTTACCTCGAGCATTTCCCATCCAGACATCGTAGCCGGCATCCGAGAGCAGGAAGGGAAGGGCGTCGTCTGGGCCCAGGCAGGGCCAGCTATCGGAACTGCCGAAGAGTCCGTGCTGGATGAAGGCGATGGGACGCTGCTGGTCCTCATTCTGCAGATTGTGCGAGTAGGGAATGCGGAAGAGGCTGATGATATACCCATCTTCGGTGGTCACATAATGCCGCTCCGCTGGATAGCCGTGTTCCGTGATGTAATCAAGCTGTGCCAAACGAAAAGGATGAGTACTCGGCGATCGTATGTTACACTCGTGGGATAGTTACCGTGGTTGGAGCAGTGGCCAAAGACAGATGCGCATCGGGATTGTTGAACAGCTGATAGAAGTCGGTAGCCTCTGCAGGATCCGCATCCGGGACCACAGGAGCACCTTCTACGATTGTGCCTAGGCAAATCCATACCAAAGCGAAGTGGACACCGATGTGTAATCCGGACATGTTTCTGCTGAACTATGGCAAATGCGCAGTGCACCACAGCCTTTAAAGACTACCGCGGGGGACTCGATTAGTGGGCTAATCTCTTTTCGATACGTATCAGAAATATGAGCCAATTAAGGGCGCATAAACTTAAGTGGAGGAACATCCATAAAGCTATTTTGGAAATACTTAAGGCTACATACTCGTCGCTTGGAGAAGGAGGGAATAACGATACTCTTATACATCGTATGAGCACTATTTATTCATTGCTACTTGCATATTGCGCCTATTTTTGTAGAAAATTTACCAAAGAAGATTGCATTCCCGGCGCAATAATGTACGAGTACAGCCGCCATATACTCCATATGCCATATGTCCCAAGAAATACTCCAACTCAAGGCTATAGTAACCCCAGAAAAAAGGGGCATAAATTGTAATATTTAAACTTAAATTTAAACAGATATACTCAGAGAGTGGAAATTTTAATTAGTGCCGAATTTAAATTTGTTTTATTTTATATATTTTATATATTTCCTACAAATTTAATATATTAGAATTGTTTTAAGGTCTTTTATTAATATTAATATAATATTATAATGTTACCCATATTAAAAAGACCTTTTAATACAATTATGTTTCATTAATCGACTTGTCTATTGCTTCTGATCCAGTATATATACTTTATATATACTTTATGGGGTCGTAAACGCTTCCCTCTTGGTATAATATCTAATAAACGCATATACGCTTTAAGTATCGGGTATAAAAACCAGTCGTTTTGTTCGATTGTCAAAGATTGTCGAAGAATCCCGAAGATAAAGAAACAGGTGGGAGCAAGCTTAGGCGCTACGCTATTCAGTCTATTCATGAAAAATCAGCATAATGAAAATATTGGATTCTTTTCTCTAATCTGAATTTGATTACTTTTAGATTTTGCTCTTTATGGATGCATAATCTAGAGAGTCTAAATATATATATAATCAAAACAGTGATAGCATGAACTACTTGAAATCGACCCCCTACAAAAGCTGAAAAGCGTACGTTGGCCAGCAGTCAGTTGCTATTGAACCATCACCCAACGATGAAGAGCCCGATCTTTAGGCAGTTACTAATCCTTATTGGCTTGGCCGTGGCTACCTATTCCGCAGCAATAGATGGGCCGGTTGGGGCAATTGATTTCTACCAGCTATACGACAACCCAGAGGCCCACATCGGCCTCAAGGATCGATTGACGACGGTATGTTGGCCCTGGATTTAAAAAAAAAACTGATATTAATTGATCAACATGTAGGCAGATCGTATTGCCGCTCACGGATATCCATCAGAGCATCATCACGTTCTTACCGAAGATGGCTACATCGTGGGAATCTTTCGCATACCTTATTCCCACAAGCTTCAGAACCAAAACGAGAAGCGTCCCATTGTCCTGATTCAGCATGGTTTAATGAGCTGCTCGGATGCTTGGATCCTGTGCGGACCTAATGATGGACTACCATATCTGCTGGCCGATGCTGGCTACGACGTTTGGATGGGCAATGGTCGCGGCAACACCTACTCTAGGAACCACACGACGCTCTCCACAAAGCATCCCCACTTCTGGCAGTTCTCTTGGCACGAGATTGGGCTCTACGATATTGCGGCCATGATCGATTATGCCCTGTCCACCGATAATGGCAAGGGACAGGACGCCATCCACTATGTGGGTCACTCGCAAGGAACGACGGTGTTCTTTGCTCTGATGTCCTCACGCCCGGAGTACAATAAGAAAATCAAGACAGCTCACATGTTTGCCCCGGTGGCGATCATGAAGAACTTGGCTAACAAATTGGTGCGGGCTGTGGGTCCCTATTTGGGCCATCAGACGATATATGCAAAGCTGTTTGGTTCGCAGGAGTTTTTGCCTTACAACGACTTCCTCATGGCGCTGCTCTTCAACATGTGTCAGCCGGATTTCATGCTACGTCCGGTATGCGAGAGTGACGTAGAGTTAGATGGCCGTGTCAATACGGTGAGTAGGAGGATATCACAAAAGGTTGTACATAATTGTATTTAAAGGCTTGAGAATTATCCGTAGACCGCCTTAACAGAGGGACTATCAACACATCCTGGGGGGTGTTCTACCGATCAAATGCTCCACTACCTCCAAGAGCAGCAATCCGGCTATTTCCGTCAATTCGACTACGGCCCCAAGAAGAATTTGCAGGTCTATGGCTCGGAGGAGCCACCAGAGTATCCCGTGGAGCTGATTACCTCAGATGTTCACATGTGGTATTCCGACAACGATGACCTGGCTGCTGTGGAGGATGTCGAGGCACTGGGACTACGTCTGCCCAAAAAGTTTATGCACCGCATGGTGGATAAAGAGTGGGATCACGTCGACTTTGCCCTGAACTGGAAGATCCGCGAATATCTGAATGAGCCCGTGATTGCCATCATGGAGGAATACGAGAAGGAGACCAGTGATATATAATTGAATTATTGCATTATCTATAATTCTAGCTTTATCAATCGCATTTCATTTCAGTTACTTGATAAGCAAATGATAAGTACGTTTAAATATAAGTTAAAGTATAGAAGCTCCACAACAAAACTTTTTTTCTCGTTGAAAATATTATAAGTGCCATAACTTAATTACGCAGAATACTTATAGCATTACAATTGATTCACAAGCGAAAATCAATTGTAATTCTTTAAAAATGTTGTATTGCTTGACGATACATTGCAGTATTTTAGGCGATTATGTTAGTTTTCTAGCAAGAGATCTAATCCACTTTCTCCTCAAGTTCCAGGTCCAACCTCCTTGCACTTCACAAACGACCAGAGGAACACATTTGCTGTTTCCACTTCAACAATTTCTGATTGCGAGTGGATTGATGGAGGGCAGGCCAGCCAAGAGAGAGAATAATGCATATTCGAGCTTTTCATTCCCATTTCACTAGTTCACATCTAAAACATCTCTCCGAGGGCCCAGTCGATTACTGCGTGTGTGTGTTTGTGTATCTGTTATCTGTATCTGTATCTGAGCCGTTGAATTAGGCATAAATACCCCCGGGTGGATATGCTCAAACGAAAAGAGACATGAGAAGATAGTCTGGCGTCTGATGGCTGCCAAGTTCAAGGTCATGATTCGACAGCCAAATTTTGGCTTTGATTTAATTGGTCCTAATTTGTGGGCTGTATAATCAATGTTCATGCATAGTTCTTGTCGAGCCGAGATATATCCGTGCGATTACTTAATTGGATTAATTTTATTGTACAATGTGCATGGGAGGCGGGCACAGCATTCACTTACTGATCTGAGAATAAGCGACTGCCTGCTATTTTTAGCTTGAGATTAAATCTCACTCTTCTCCGCCTCCGCCTTCGCCTCCTCACAGTCGGCGGAATTACAACAAACATGCAAACACACACAAACTGTTTGCCAGCGTCTGAAATGAGCAGGCAACGAGGCGTGGCAAGTAAAAAACACACGGAAGCGTTAAATTGGCTCAAGTGTGCCCAAAACAAAACGAAAACCAGCAGAACAAAAAGTATCCATCCACACAAGAGGAGCCAAACGGAGCCAAAGGCAAGGCAAGCTGCTCGGAAGCAACTGAAACATCCAAGCTGCAGCTGCACTTGCAACTGTTGCCATAGAGAAAATATTTCTCAAAAAATGTAACTAAACAACCATGTGGGTGGGTCTATGCTGTTAGCCCTTCAATGGAGAGCAAACTACATATATTTTTTTGGTATCTTCCAATTTGTTGTAGGAATAATACACACATGTTGTTTTTTGATTGTCAGCAAGTAGTCCTTAATTTGAGGTGTTTCAAAATATATTACCCAAAGCTGTACAAATCAGCTGACAAATAATTAAAACACAAAGCTCGCATAAAACGGAATACATTAGCTTGGACTTTATGAATCAATAAAAAAGAACATGTAAAAGAAACGTCCAGCAATAAAAGGGTTTGCATTTAATAAAAAACAGGGAGCATTGCCAATTGGTCGCTTGGCACACTGAGGGTTAACTTTAAGCTAGTATTTTGGCGCCAAGTCATAAAGCCAGAAAAGTTGTGGCTCGCAGACAAATTAAGCCCACCCAGAAGGGTCAAGAGCTGGTCTCGGTCATTATTTTGCATATGCTAAGGACTGGTTTTCAGTCTCAGAGTCTCGCTTTTTTTGGGTTTTCCTTTTTGTTTGGCGCACAAAAATAATTAAATTTGTAGCAATTTGTGTCCTTTTTTTTTTGGGCGCCATATTTGCATTTGGTTGTTTTTATTGCGGCTGCTACTGTACGCTATCTGCTCTTTAAAGCGTTGAGCGATAAGGCAGCATTTACCATATACTCGTAATACTACATCGTATATCCGTTTCTGTTTGCAGCAATTTATGATTTTAATGGCATTATTTTTTTATGATCATTACATGTTCATCCAGTCTCCTCTTTGGGGTGTAATTTTCACTTGTTATCATTTACTTGCAGTTTTTCAACTTTAACTATGGGGCTGGGCATCCGTTAAAATCTAATTATAGTATGTTGAAACTTTTGAAGGGAAACCGAACTTTTGGAACTGGGCTAAAGTCTTGAAGTTGATCAAATTGTTTAATAATTCTAATGGAAAACGCAATTATGTTTTTGTGTAATCATCTAATCTGCTTGTACTTGTTTCCTTGATACCCACAAACCAAAGGTTTTCCTCAGCAAAAGGTTTCCCAACAGTGGAAGTCACGTTGTGTGTGCATTATTTAGGTTTCTCAAATTGAATTTCGCTTGCCTTCTCTCAGATCTCCGACTATATATAGTACACGTACTATTGTAACTGTTGTAAGTGATTGTCAAGAATCAATTAGTGCGTTTGCAGGGCCTGGAGCTCAGACTGGATGTAGTTGACTGTTTTAAGTTAACCCAAATTGCTGCACAATTCAGAGGCAGATAGCTGTGCCATTGTCCGCCCATTAATGTGCATTAAATCCAATAAAATAGAGCTGGAACAGCAAGTGAAATGGAGGCGAGTGAAGGCGAGTACGAGTCCGAG